CCCACTCAAAGTGTTCTATGCTTCCAGATAACCTGAATATAAATGGAAATTATGCTTCTCACAGATCGGGTGGTATGGTTATAAACATACCACCCGATCTGTGAGAAGTATAATTTCCATTTATAATCAGGTTATCTGGAAGTATAGAAGTGTGTGTCAGGTGGTTTTTTGATCGCATAATACGTATAAGAAGTTGGGAGGTGATAGTCCTTGACGTTCGCTTAATGCATTGTTTGATTGAATGGGTGGATTGTTGGAATCACCGTTAGCCAGGCACTGAATGTCCTACTTTTGGCTTTCATTGCATAACAGTTGTCATCTTTGAGGAGACTTTTGTGCGGTGTTGTTTTGTAGTTTGTAGTTGTCATTGATATAGTCATTCTCTTTTCAAAAGCTTTTTTTTTAAATATGTCCATTTGTAATCTCCTCTTTGAATTATGTTAGATTCGTCGTGCTGGTGATCGATGGATGTTACGTGGACCTATTGAGTATGTACCTCCTGTTGAGGTGGAGGTGGTAACTCGTCGAAATATCATTCCTCTTGATTGCAATGAGGGTATCTATGTTCGTAATACACAGACAGGACAGGTTCGAGCTGTTATTGGTCAAGCCTACATGTTGAACCAAGATGAGGAGTTGTGGGAAAAGAAACTTCCGACTGAGGTTGTCCAGTTGTTGGAAAGAAATATGGACCCATTTGCGGATCGTGGAGTTCGGTCCATGCAGGACTCATGTGAATGTCTTGATCCAACTCGTGTAGTTACTTTCCGTGTTCCACACAATGCTGCGGCCCAAGTCTACAATTACAAGAATAAAAGGGCGAGAGTTGAGTTTGGACCAAATTTAGTTATGTTGGATCCAGATGAACAGTTTACTCGTCTGAGTTTGAGTGGTGGGAAACCGAAGAAACCGAACGTGATTAAAAGTCTTTGTTTATTGTTAGGCCCAGATTTCTGTACAGATGTTGTGATTGTTGAGACGGCGGATCATGCTCGCTTGTCTTTACAACTGTCATACAACTGGATGTTTGATGTGTCTTCATCGTGCAGTGAGGCAGATGCTGCTAAATTATTCTCAGTACCAGATTTCATTGGTGATGCGTGTAAAGCTATTGCATCTCGTGTTCGTGGGACTGTTGCATCTGTTCACTTTGATGATTTTCATAAGGTAACGTGTATATTTTATTGACCAGGTAGTTATGATGTGAATTCTATGGTTTAACTTTATTTGTGGATTATTTTAACCGAGGATGCATGTTGCGTCCCGGTGAAGGTTGTAATCAGATTTCAGATTATTGTGAAATGGCTACTTCTTAATTGGTTTACTTTCTACTGAACACAGAATTGTGCATGAAGAAGGTCGTTGTAATCCGTTGGTTGAGGAATAATGACAGGTCTAGTGGAAAGCGTGGTATAAGAACGATGAAGGTGACCGCCTTTGGAATGTGATACAGGATAAGCAAGCTGGTTTAGTCTATTTCCCACTGTTCATGCACAGGATAAAAAAGTTGCTGCTACTTACTGTGATTGTGTATCATACTCATAATGTATGTGTTGCAGTGATGAGGTGTAATGTTTCTTACACACTATTCAGGTAATCATGTTGGACTGTGAAGTGTTAGCTTGGAACAACTTTTGTTCGTGTTGCAGAGCGATGTATGTATAGTGATGTGATGTATGTGTATTATGTTGGTCATGGTGAGATGAATTTGTGCTCAGAAGGTGATGGTGTCCTGATTGTGTTTGGAATTTGTTGTTTGACTGAAATGCCAAAACAGGGGTATGAGAAAGTAACAAATGAAAATGGTGAGGCAGCGATTGTTTGGATACGTAGATATGTAGAGGATCACTTCTAAGCAGAAATATTTCATCGAGGTAAATATTGTGGTTCTATCTGTATGATGTTTTACAGTTAGATAGGTGCTGGTGGTGCACAGTTCAAACCAATAGTCAGTCTTCACCCACTGATACCACGTTTTAGTCTGACCAGTTAAATGCGAGTTGAGATAGCATTATGCGTCAGGTTGTATTCTGACTATATGTGTGTAACACGTTCGAGTGAAGTTCACAATTTCACTGGCTACCTTTCCACCTTCTCTTAGAATCCCACGCCTAACCTTTGTATTACTGATGTGGTTGTCATATTGCAGAATGAAGATGAAATGGAACACCTTAACTGTGCGTTCACCTGAGATAGTTGTGTGGTTGATATCTTCCATTTGGATAGCATTACTTATCTGTTAGTGCGGCCCACGGTATTTGGAAGGAAGTGATTTCCTTCAAATTATTTCTTGTGTCATCGATGAGTTCATGTTCGATTTTGATGCATTTTATTGAAAATCTCCAACCGTTGATTCCTCTTATCTGGGAGGCCTCAACCAGGTAGTGTACACTTCCCTACACGACTGAGACCAGCAGTTAGAGACTGTAAACTAGTGTCACGTCTTTACCTGGCCACGTTTAGTCTTCTTCGAACTCAATCCCACTTCGGTTAACATTGTGATAAGTCTATTTGTAAGGCATATTTTGTTACACATGAATGACAAGGTAGTCCCATCGATGAGACTGTAAATTTGACCACTTTGACTGGTAACAGAGCAAGGTTGTGATATATATATATATATATATATATATATATATATATATGTTTGTTTGTAGTGCACCATGATGACGCCAATACATTGCTAAGTCTTAAATTCGTATGTAGTAGTCATGTTGTTCACTAGATCTCCACTTGATGTTTCAAATCTGTAAAAACATGACCTACTGATTTTGTATTTGCGTATGACGTCGCGTCGTGTTTGATTTTGTGACGCAGGTGCACGCATCTTCACCCTCATCTTCGATATTTCCCAGTCACATATGTATGGATAAATATGAGTTCTTCTTTGAAACAACCATGTAATAATAATAATAATAATAATAATAATAATAATAATAATAATAAGGACTATATATACACATATACGGACAGCTTGGTGCAGTGTTGACTTAGTGTTTATTGACACATACGCAGAGTCAGTCGGCAAGATAATTTGAATTTGATTTTATTGTCATACATATGAGTTTTTCGTCAGTTTATTTACTTAATGACACAAACCTGAGTAAACAGAATTCATGCTTCACTTGACTTTCTTACCAATCTTAACACTAAGATGAGAAATTTATTGAGAATTCACTTGAAGTGGTGTGAGTACATATGTTGTCAGAGCAACGATCTACACTGTAGATATTGCTTGCCTGTTTGTGAGTACTTGATGGTATCAGACATGGAGAGTGGAAACCGGTAGAATATTTCTTGAGATTACGATTTCTGCTTTCACTATGATCTGTCTGTGACAGTTCTGAAATTTGAAATCCATAGAAAGCATCTTCTTTGGATAGACAAGTGAAGATGAAGATTTGTTAGTTTTGTCCTACGCCTTTCCTTCATTATTGTGATATTTAGAAGATTGTTTTTCAGCAAGTATATCATTGGCAGAAGACTTCCGTTTCTCACACTAGAGATACAAATGTAGAGATGATGAAGTAGGCTTTCACAAATTGATTTATTATCTATGTAACGTAGGGATCTGTCATATTCTCTGCAACATTCTTTGATGGTACATTACATGTTACTTTTGATTGAGTGAAACGTTGAAAACAAGTGTCAGTTTCTTTATCATCATCATCATGAAGCATGTTTTCTACATCTTATTATTGTTTGTTTGTGAAGCACAAAGGTGTAATCTTTGAAAATAAAGGGTATCTGGTAGTCATTTGATTTCTCTTTGCCTTCTTTAAAACTACTATGATGCAGTCAAACTAAGATGAACGCAAAAATAGCCTTATTTGAAGATATCTTGAATTTTAGGTATATAATAGAACTACGTGACAACTTTGCTTCTCTTTCTTTGTAAAGGGTCTGTCGGTTACTGTTACTATTGTGCTCATGATAGTGGTATAGTGGAAGCACATGGTATTCGACAGGTAGTCTGTTGTGCTAGTGAGGAATGATGTTTTAGAAACTACACAAGTGGAAGTCTTTTGAATGGTTGAGGTGACGGAGACGGTTTGTAACTCAGGGTAAAAAATGAGAATGCTTCCTGTTGTGTGAGATTTTCACCAATAGATTATGTAGATGCAGTTTGTTTACCTTCCGTGAAAGTATTCCCGTGACGTCAGTATTCTGAATATGTGCTAATGATTTTCTGAAGATGCAGGTAAGCTACCTCTGTGTCACAGTTCATCGATGTGTCACTTTCTGAGCCAGATTCGCACTTGATGAAACGTGGACTAGAATTACTAATTTTGATACAGCATAGTTTGTGAAATCACCGATCATAGAGAGTAATCTTTATTGGTATCATTGTAGTGAAGCAATGACTTTCTTTTGTGCTCCATCGCATCACACTTGTTATTGTTGTAGTTGGTGATGATGAAAATTGGGACATTGCCATTGGACATGCAAATTTCGTGTGCGATATCTATTTTGTGTTGTGTTTGCTTTACTGATGCATACAATTGGTCATTTCAGTGATTTGAAGTAAACAAGAATGCGCTATAGATGTTACTGGGTACTTCGTTTTCCGAAAGGGTTTATCATGTGTTTCATAGTCGTTCTCCAGAATATTGAATCGGTGTGACCGAATGACTGACTGGTGAGATTTCTTAGAACTCTTGTGAAACAATGAGTATATTTGACTATCGTACGAAGATGGAAGCGATCCGGTTGTAAGTTGAGTGTTAATTCGAAAATGCCTCTTCCGACTTCGTTGTTGATGTGCTGTGGTGACAATTGATGCCGATTGGACGTAGTGTGTAATACCTCAACTGATCGGCCTTATTAATGGAATTTTAATTGCTTAGTTTGTTTGTTTATGGAATCTAGTACAGAATGCGAACGGAGTACGTTCATATAGAAGGTTTGAAACTGAAGAAAATAAGTTATTGTCGAATTTGATTTGTGATTGCTTCATGTTGACACTATTATACCACCTGTATTATGTATTATGATTTCAGAATTCGTCACGGATAATTCGTGCATCCGTTTTTGGATTGGATGAAGCGGGAAAGATTCGAGATCGATTTGTTTTCCCACAAAACAACCTGCATATTACAAGTGTTGATGTCCAGTCTGTAGAGCCAGTAGACCAACGAACTCGAGATTCATTGCAGAAATCAGTTCAACTCGCCATTGAGATAACGACGAATTCTCAAGAAGCAGCTGCTCGGTAAGGAAGTCCTGCCTACTTTGCATATTGATGAAAATTAGTCTAGAAGGTCTCATGAAAGCCAGGGAAAGAAGTTGGATAGTGTGTAAGAGATTCATATTACGTGACGGGTTTTGATAATTGTTTGGTATTCCCCGAGCTTTGCTGTTTGTTCTTCGAGGTTTCATCACCAGGTGACCAGTTGACCTCCTCAGCATTTACTGCATCCATGCTTCTATAAAAGGTAAAGACTGATGCAGCTGACTAGTCTGGTGCTGAAATGTCCAGGAGCAAAGCTTAAAGCTCGGAGAACATCAAACAGTTTTCAACTGCGAATCTTCTCTACTCTCTCGTAATGGCTTTGTTTCAGCTACAAGGAGACCGTGTGTAGTACAGAATAAATTACTATAGAGTAGCATACTTAGTTTGTTGCGTGAGAAGAGCACAAATAGAATTGAGATTTAGTGAAAGCTGAGGTTCAGAATGACAAACTGCCTTCATGGTTGTGTGATTATCTATTGAAGTGAGTTGGCTTTGGTGATTGTGTTCTCATGCCAAATGCTTTGAGTAACCAGTTTCCAAATCTACAATGCCTGCATGGCAAGGTAGTTCGAAAGACATAACAGGTTGTGGCGTGTAAATGTGTATGCCAACCGGGTACTATTGTCATGGTGGAAACGTGTACTTTTGAGCTGGAACAAACCTGTATCCGCACATGTTTTGTTCAGCTACTGGATGTCGTGTTGTTTGTTTGTGGGTTGGTGTAGGAGGAATGTTGTATTGCGTACAGTGGGCAGTTATTGATGATGTCAGTCGAAATGGAATCTAGAATTCTAGTGAGCATTCAATTTATATCTTATGTTTACCGTCAGCATTGGTGTCCACTGGTCACCGACCATGGAAACATTATCAGCATCAGTTAATATTGTGTGTATGTATGTATGTATGTGATGATATTGCATTGCAGTCATGAAGCCGAAAGAATTGAACAAGAATCGAAAGGTCGATTGGAAAGGCAGAGGATTGAAGATGAGACGGCTGCTGAAGAATCTCGACGCAAATTGCTTGAAGTTCGAGTGCAACTAGCTGCCATCGAAAGCAGTAGCCAAGCGAAGCAGAAGCAGAGAGTCGAGCTGAGGCGAACCGTATTTCGAGTCAAGCTGCTGTAGAAGAAGCTAAACTTCGTGCTGAAGCTTTGTCTATTGAAACGGTGAGGAGATAAGTTTATAAATATTTGCTTGCATACAGTGTTGTTTGATAGATAACCTTAACGTGTATAAATTGAATGACAAACTTTCAGCTGTGAATTCTCATTTTTCAAGAACTGTTTACTACTTTCTCGGTTTGTGGTCATAGATAGTTAGCAGTTATGCAGAGGTGATGAATGAAGGTGGAGTAGAACTTGATTTTGAAAAGTATTTGAACTAGCTTGTGAAGCACCTGATAATTGTGGTGTGCCTGTTAGATGGACGCATGTCAATGAAGGGTGAACTATGGGTTTCATTGATGTGGTGTGTTGCATCATAGGTCTGAGCAGTGGTATTCTAGAAGATGTGCTACAAAAAAGCCTACAAGTAATTGACTACTCATGCTTTTGTAACACATTGTAAATGTAGTTCGACTGTGAAGTGTGATTTGGTGTGAAACTGTGGATGAGTATGAGGATGATTAGGTGGAATCCTAGCTGCACAATGTATTTTAATGTATATCACATGGGTATGCTTGTGAAATTGAAGTAGACAGGATGATGAGTAGAAGAAGGTGGGATGGTAGTTTTGTTGTTTAAGAAGTAAGTGCAAGCTGTCTGTGTACCCATCACATAATAGGCGTTTCTGACCCATCTTGTCTTATCGGATTTGCACTCATTTTGATGATGAGTTGATGTAGGTGTGAATGAAGTTGGGAGCAGTTGGACGATATGTTAAATGCAAGGAGACCATTTTTGCGATTGGTTGATAGAAGTATTTACTCAGTAGACTTGATATTTTGCATAAAAGACAATTGAAGTGTTTTCATGCACTACACTACACTGCACTGCAGTGTACTGGATTGTATTACCTACCGTATTGATGATAAACTTTCTGATTTCCACTTATTTCTTGTTTTCAGAATGCAGAGTTAGAAAGGCTGAAGCTAGCTCGAGCTGCTGAAATCGCTTATATGAAGGAAAAGAATGAGGTGGCTTTGAAGTATAAGGCTGATGAGATGGAAATTGAGAAGTCACGTTTTGTTACGATGATCAATGCGATAGGCACAGATACCCTACGTGCGATGGCAACTGCGGAATCAGACCATAATTTGCGCATGTTGAGCGCTTTAGGTCTACAGAGTACATTGATTACCGATGGTACGACACCAGTGAATTTATTGAGCACTGCTCATGGTCTTATCGGTTCGGTTTTTGAAAATCATCCGTAAGCTAGCTAAAGATGCAAGTGGTGGTGGTGGTGGTGGTGTTGGTGTTGGTGATGACAATGAAAAGGGCAAATGAGTTGATAGTGTTTGGAAGCAAACTTCTCATTATTGTTCTATTCTTTTAATTAGGAATATATTTGATCATTCGCCATGTGATTCACTCAGTTGCTTTTGCTGTCTTTTGTTTTGGCAAACAATCCAATATTTTCATTTTTTGTAATGTTTTATGATACTTCCTGTGATCGACTGTGCATCCTAGTGCATATAGGTTTTTATCTAATCTATACAGTTTGTTCTCCTTTGTGATACATATGTATATCCGCGTCTTTCATAAATCTGTTGTTTTTATATTATTTGTTGTCTAAGTATTTTGGTGAGAATACAGGTGATGGTGGTGGTAGTGAATGCGTGTGTGGTGAATATGCCAAGGTGTGTGTGTACTTATGCATAATGAATCGATGAGTCGACTACTTGACTTGACTTTATAAATGAGTGATGAGTGGAGTGTGATAGAGTTCTGTGAGACTGAAGTATGTCAGGTGGATGCTTTGTTAATCATAGATGTTAGGTATATATAGGCAACTGTGCACGAGCAGGATAGGATTTAAAATCGACGAGCTGTTGATTGTCTCTAAGTCAAGATGAGATCATTTGTTGTTATTATTATTGTTATTTATCCCTTGGGTTCCTAGTGGAACATAGGGCTTCAGTAGCACGTCTTCATTCCACTCTGTTCTCTGCAGTCTTTTGAACCTGGCTCTACGACTGCCCACGAGCTCTCACTTATTCCTCACACGATCTCCTCCATGTCACCCTCACCTCGGACACCGAACTCGCCGTTTCCCATCTAGGTTGCACTCGATTGCCTAGTGCGTGATGTCCCTGAAGGGTCTTCTCAGTGCATGCCCAATCCATCTTCATTTCCTTTTGCATATTTGTTGACCTATGGGTTCTTAGTTGGTTGGTTGGTTGGTTCATTTGGCTGCTGAATTTTGAAGTCTGGAGTAATTTATTGCATTAGACCGATCGTATAGACCATGAACTGCGTGTTTATCACCAACAACCCATTGTGTTTGTAGATGGATGATGTGTGTGCTACTTGTGAGTGGAGTGAGAATCTGCTTATGTGTTTCTGCTGGGACACTGCAGTTTTTGTTAATGTTTCGAGCAGTAGGTTATTTTACATCTGATTTGTAACCCTCTGTTTAAACTGTTTGAAATAATCTCGGCTTGAAAAAGTGATTGCGGTATGTAGGGACTGTGTTTTAGGTTAGTTGAAAACTTGGTGAATAAACTGGATGTAATGATTCTGCAATCCATAATTTCTCCCATGTGTGGTCATCATCCAGCGAATGATACGGTTACACTATGTGTCGCGCCGTATGAAGGAAGTGAATTGAAGTGTGTAGAGATGTTGTGATATGCATGAAGGTGAACTTGCATCACGGGTGTACGTCAAGCCACTAAGGTTGAGTCATACCTAGTTTCTTAGTGAGAATAAGGTACTTCTGAGGATCCCCGAATGTTACGTAAGAAGGTGAGTTGTGTTGCACCAGTACATGACTAGAGTTGCAAATTACCTTCCACTGTATTTCAAATAAGCGTCTTGTGGTTTGAAAAGTGTACAGTCGTTGTGTAGATGGTGTGTACCGTGCAAATCAGCGTACAATGCAATGCAGCATGAATATTTAATTCCGTGATGAAGAAGTCGGATGAAATTTGATTATTATCGTATTATAGATCACATACTTGATGAGGTGAATCGTTGTAGTAACCATTGTTTTAATTTTCAGTGTTGGAACTGAGTACTTATAATGGTACAACTGCAACCAGTGAAGTTGAATTTCACTTTATTGATATTGAAATCAAATTATTGGTTGTCCATCTTGCGTAGTCGAGTGGGACGGGAGTAGGGGATACTGGAGTAGAGTTATTCATTAATTGACCAGATGTAAATTTCAACGCAAACAGATGTCACTTTCAGTCAAAAGACACGTTTCTGTCTTGTTTGGTAGACTATCGTGTGTGTTTGGTGAACGGGAGTATGTATGTTGATTTTGATAAAATTCTAGTGGGACATCATTCCTCTTTTCGAATTCTGTCATTATTCATATTCATACACAGTATGGTGTGTTTAGGAGTATGGAGTATATTGTCACTTTGTGTTGTTAGCCTGCTGTGGGTTGGTTGTGATGTTATTTAGTAAATTTGAGAAGATAAGATTGATTTATGGTGAAAAATGTGAATTCATGTCAAGAGTTGGAAAGGTGTCTGAAGTTCCAGAAATAGATATGCGCTAGTGATAATGGAAACTGCATAGCAAATTGATGTCAGACTGAATGAGGAAATATGATGTATCTGGTTACACATTGTATTCTGTGCTCTAATCTTAGTCCTCCTACACATAAAACAACAGTGAAGGGATAAGATGAACATTATGATGTGACTGTTCAACCCGAGTTGAGAATGTGAGTGGGTAAAGTGGAGAAGGGAGGAAGTGTTACTGTTGAATCTGCCTTTTTGAAGATGAATACAGAGACTAGCACGTGCAGTTTACAACTGCGATAGTCAACCATCTACTTGTAAACTGTATAGATTGACTTGTAATCGATGCTCAAAGATAGTTGTGTTCCATCAGAGCGTTGTATTCACTAGGTCACATCTGAAGAATGTCGACCTTAAGAAGTAATGGTGATGGTAGTGGTTAGTGAGTGGAGGACGTAATTGAATTCACTGTGGGTAGTTGAATCTTCAGCAGACATATTGAGCCGTGACTGGACACAATAGATATTTTGAAATGTGTTCGAAATAGTGAGTTACAGAAAGCTAGTCTTGCTTGTTACTTGTAGTGCTGATTATGACGGGTGGTCGAAATGTTGTGGTTTGGTTGGCAGTGGTCTAGATATTCGTATTCCTCATTTTATTGAGGTTGAGCAATATGTGATTCATGACTGTATATCTACTAGTTGTTTAATTGGACATGATTATCCTGAGTGGTTTGTCTATAGGAGTTCTTGAATCTGAATGGGAACATTCACTGTGATAGTCTCTGTGTTCTCCTATGTTTGCAGAATGTCCATCGATTGATTGTTCAAAGACATAAGCGTAGCACCAGACAGACAGTTGAGTGCCTTCGGTCAGTCTTTTTCGACTTGACAAGGTTAATTAATGTCTGTTCGCTTTCGTGTCATTTGAAGTGTTTGCTGGGAAATTGAATATGGTGTGTGAATGTGTCGTGTTATGCTTGATGCATAATTGTTGTAGGATGTGAGCAGCTGAAAGGAATTGTTGAAATGCAGTCATATCATCTCGGTCTGTCTGTTGCTTATCTTTGATTTGTTATAATTCGAAATAAATATAGTGGTTAGCCAAAGGCGACTAATTTGAGTTTTCAATTGAGTTGTGATAGAATTAGAATTCCGTGAACTTCGATTGGTAGTCATCTTGTCTTAGTAGTGTGCTGTCGATGAAAGAGGAGGTGTTTAAGTGTAACTGGAAATAACGACAGTTGATACTGTGGCTATACTAATTGTGGAAACGACTGAGTGTAAAGTCGATATCCAGCAAAGTAATGCTATCAGCGAGAAGTGTCAGAGTATTCATTTGTAAAATAATGCTGATCAGCTGGTGAGAGGCGACAATTGCATTGGTGATTGAGGTGATCCAAGTTAATGGTGATGGGTTGTGTACTTGTTGATCAAGTTTGTGAGAGTAAGAGTTGGTGGGGAAATAATAAATGGAGGCTGATGATTAGCTGCAGTGGGATATGAGACTTGTGATGAGACTTTTGGAAACAGTGTTGTTTGGTAGATTGATGTCTATGAGAAATGATGGTAGTTTAGATTTGCTACGAATGGATTCCTTCAACTGGAGGCTACTGACTGTAATGTCGGTATAGTGGATGATATTTTGCTACTCCGTTCAACATCGCTAAACAGCATGATGCTATTTCAATATTGTTTGGATAAATTTGCTGTTGCCAACTTGACTGACTTGAGGATGTACAGTGGTTTTGAACCACGACTGTCTTCTTAGCGTCGGCCATGCAATATTGAAGCACCATTTGATGTACACTGAAGTTAGATGTATAGTTGTGAGTAGGAGAGGGATGTCAATGGATGGAGTTGTGCACATTCATCGACTGATACCACTGAGATATGTGTTGTTCATGCGTATTGACGATCTGCCTGATCACAGTGTGTTGACTGAAGTAGGTTTAGGTTGAAGGAAGTTGTTTGTGGCCAGATGGAACATGGTGTGAGTGCACGAAGTCTGTGAATGATGATGTGAGCTGTGTTGTGGAATGTAGGTTTGTCTATGTAGGTGAATATGTCGAAAGAAGTCGGTTGTTGCAGAGTATAGGTGACCTGGTTCATAATGGATCTCAGTGGATCAGATTAGTCCTCAAATTACCTGCTTCTTACTGGCTCTACGGGATTTGATTACCATTTGGCGACTGCTTGTTATCTTTTCACAACTTCCAATAGCTCTTGAACAATTTCCTCTCATATTATCTTACCTGAATGTGTTTGCTGTCGGTAGTGGTGTGGTGTGGTGTGGTGTGTCAACTTCAACAATTAGATAGGAATACATGATGTGCTGTTGATGCAGACGACTGTCTGACTGACTGACTGATGCCTGTGAAAATGGTGACGCCAACAAAAAGCCTCACACTACCTGGTTATCTGGAAAATCATTGATACCACAAGACTGTTTGTTGCTTTACTTGATACGCAGTATGTGAGTGTGAAGTCAACCACATCACGAGATAGATGTAGACATTTGTGACGGAGAATCGAAGTGGATTGGTCTAGAATAGAGAGGAGGATGAGTGGGTGAAACAAGGCAGGGGATGTGGAATGATGTGAGGGTTGAGTAGGAGATTCGTATGAGAGGTGTGTAGCCACTATGTCACTGATCATGATTCCATATCACGACAATAAGGATATCCTGGGATCAGCTTGAAATTCTTGTGGACTGTCAGTAGAGCAAAGCTATCTGTGAAAGGAGAAATGAGAGAAGCTGCTATATGAGAGATGGATGAATCGGCAGAGACCAGAGATCACTCCTCTTCGAATGGATGTTTGATTGATTGATTTTGCTGTAATATCACAGTAGTTGGTAATCGCATTGGGTTCAGTTAGTTAGTGGCATAGTGTAGTTAGTGTAGTGTGGTGTAGTGACACTGATTGCAAGTAGCAGCTTGTGACGTTGGTGTTTGTTGTGAGGAATTCACTGTGGAGACTTATCACAAATTATGTTGCTGTTCACATAGTTAAGGCATAGAGATAAGAAAATATAGTCTCATGTATGTTTGTAATTGTTCTGTTGAATGTGGTTATATGTT